AGCTGAAGCCCAACTTTGTCATAATCGCGTGTAGATAATGCCATTCGACGCGATCATAAGCTTTCATCATGTCCAACTTGACAGCACATACCCAATTCTTTCCCTTCCTTCTTTTCTTCATTGCATGGATACTGTCATGAGCAATAAAAACATTATCTGTAATGAGGCGCACAGGCACAAACGCACTTTGCTCCTCACTTACAATGTCGTCAAGAAAATCTCTCATCCTGTTAACAATACATTTTGCTGCAATCTTGTACAGAACAGAACAAAGAGAGATAGGTCTATATTGGGTTATTCTTTGTGGGTGCCGAACCTTTGGAATAAGGGTAATGGATATATCATTCAAACCTTCTGGGAGTTCGCCCCCATTCAAAAACCCCAACACTGTCGGGATTATGTCATCTTTTATCAATGGCCAATGCCTCTGAAAAAAAACCCGCAGTAAAGCCGTCCACGCCGGGTGCTTTGGATGGGGCCATTTGAAACAGCGCCACCCTCACCTCTTCTGCCGTAAATGGCTTATCTAGGTGTGCGTTCATAGGTGCTTTCACCCTATGTGGAACTAAATCCAACAGTTCATCCAGGGGTCGGATTCCTTGAGACGTATACAAAGTTGTGTAGAACTGTTGCACCTCCTCATGGTCATCTGTCCAGGATTGGCATACCGACCCATCAGCTCGCACAAGTCCCTCAATTTTGTTCATCCTTCTCCGTTGAGCTGCCTGTGCGTGAAAAAATTTTGTGTTCCTCTCTCCCTCGCGCTAGTAAGGTACTCTGGACCTCTGGCGCGTCCATATTTCCTCCTGATGAAGTGCCTCACGTAGCTTCTTGACGATGGATCTCTCTTCATCAGTTGGACCCCGCCTGCCCGCGCGGCTTCTAAGTTTGTTCAAACTCTGTCGGAGTTTCCTCACCTTAGCCGTCAGGCTGCCGAACTCACGCATGCCCCATGTGGATAGTGACCTCTGCATGTTGTTAAGCGCGCTGATCACTCCCGCCAGGCCCTGCAGATCAGCTCCTTTTTGCCAATTATTCAAGACCACACTATCATAATCTGCATGAGTCTGCCATACATCTTCATAGCGAAACTGCTTTCCTCCTCTTCTCCTCTCGGCCACATCCGTACGGAGTTCGACCAGGACCAAGCAGTGGTCGGAGTCCGTGGTACTTATGTGCCGAACTTTTGAGTGCCCAAATGTATGAATCAATGCTGGGTTCCCGAACACTCTATCAAGTCGTGCCCTGACATTATCATCACCCGTTTGACCATTATTCCACGTATACTCTGTTCCAGACCACCCCATGTCTTGGAACAAGCAAACATCAGCTGCTTCACGGAACGCACACATCTGCCATTCAGGCCGGGCAGCCAGCGAAAAATGCTCCATAGTGTTTCATTGAAATCCCCTACGCATAACCACGCCGGATGTTGGATACAAAACAATGTCCGCAGGAATCTCCAACTGTGGTGTCTGTCAGATACTCGAGGGGCCCCGTAGAATCTTGTAAATCTCCATTTATCACGATGCATATTACTATTCTGCACCATCACATCTATGTGCCCCGAACTAAAACTCTGAAGATCCACCTGAACATCACTTGTCCAGAATAGACCAATACCACCGCTTAGACCGTCACTGTCAACTGCAAAACAGCCCGCAAATCCCAGAAGATTTTGCAAACTTTGTACCCTCTTTGCCGCAATTTTAGTCTCCATCAGAAATAAGGGACCGAGCCCTTCTTGCTTCACCACACTGCGAAGCTCGCGAACTGTCGCTGGGTTCCCAAGCCCGCGACAGTTCCAGCTAACGCAATTCATTGAGCCTGGCAGGGCTGCACCGCAGCCTCTGCTGTCTCACCGGAATTCACCGGGGTAGGTTTCTTCTTCTTTAGTAGCCTCTCATCTTCACCACTTTTCTCAGAGGAGTCCGATAGCACCTCTATATCACCCTTTTGGCCGTCCTCTGGGTTGTGTGCCTTGTCCATCAGCAAGGGTATAACCCTCATGTACTCTTGTTTCTTCTCCTGCGGCCCTCCCTTGCGCTTATTCAGATTTTTGCTCTTGGCCGGAGAATTAACTTCAGCTCCTTTCTCAGCTGCATTACTCGAACCTCTTGTCTCTGCTTTGTTCTTTTGACTATTCGATTGATCCCGAGACGAGTTCTCACTAGCACTCGGTGCCCTGCGATCTTCCGGCGCCCGCAGCCCTCTTCCAAAGGGGAGGTCCCCATTGGCATCTCGAGTCCCCGGGGTCAGACAATGCAGATCCGAGTGGCCCAACCTTCCGCATGAGAAATAGAAGTGCGGAACATTCTCATATTGGATGTCATACAAATCCGTCTGTTTCCGCCGCGCTGACTCGATTAAAATCCAGCGCCTTAATGGTTTGTCCACATCAACTGAAACTCTATCTCTGAGGTAGCCATTAGCATGATCAAACTGCACCCCAGATGCATGCTTGTCAATCTGTTTCGCTATTGCAGCACACCTCTTCTCTCCCCAAAGATTGAAGGGCAGATTGATGACCCTTGCCCACATATGAAGCTTGGTAGAACTCAGTTCAGAAGGCCGCATGCACTCATCAAACTCCGACAAGACAACGTCGTTTTTACTTACATGCCAAGGCGATCCTTCCCAAACTCGATCTCGATCTCTCTTGCTCGCGAACTCAGCCACGAACGTGTTTTCCCCTACCGATCTGAAGTGCAGACCTTTAGGGTTGCCCCAGGCCGGACGAAGTGCGCTGATGATTGTTTGTATGTGCAGAACACGTCGGTGCAGAACCTTCCCCGCTATCATCCACTTCTCCGGCTGACCATCCTCTCTATCATCGAGAACCAGTGGCGTCGCCTCTTCTTCAGTAATATCCAGTTTACCTAGGGCCTCCGCCAGCTTCGCCCTTGCCGCGCCCGGCGACAGGGGCTCTTTCCCGTGGCCATGCCCCGCTGATGAAGCCATCACCGGGATCACGATCCGGTGCG